GTTGGAAGGTGATGAATGTTAGAGAGAGAGAAACAAAATGGCTGGAAATTTTGAAGGATGAAGAATTTTCAAAAGAGAAGGGGGTATTTATATGGGGCTTCAAGAGAAGGAATGGGCTGACTCTAAAGGTCCAGGCCCAAGAAGGCTTTTATTTATTAAATACAAGTCCCCAATAAATACAACAAACAAAACAATTTTGAAAAAAAAAAAAATTTAAAACTCCACTCTTTCAAAATAATAATTGGCAACCAAATGTAAAAGATTGTAACTTTGAAAATTTGAATTTTAAGAAGAACAAAACGAAAATATCAGCTTTATTTTTATGTGAAATATTTCAAGACTATTTGGCATTGCACGAACTAACTTGGTTAGCTACCCGCCGAAACGTGACCTAACAAACTAATCTTGGGAGATGATCAAGATGATCACAGATCATCGAAGCTAAATCATAGAAAGACTTAGTTTTCAATAAATGTCCTAAAATGAGGTACTAACCTGAAATTCCAAAATGCAGAATTGTCACAACACCAATGCCAGTGTCATAGGTGTCGAGAATTGCGGGAAGAAGGACATAAATGAAGGTATCGATGGCGGGGGAGGTAATGGTAGTGGTTGACATTGTTGTCGCATATATCGGTTCTTGAAAACAAAACCCATTATATGACGGCATGAGAAAGGGAACTGTAGCAGGAGGTCTCATCAAGGACGAGCTAAAAGCACTCGTTGTTGCGTTTGTGTACTGCTACCAAAGATTCTGGACTTCTAGATTGGCCCTATGATTTTGGTCACTTAATCGAGCAATTTCCTGCCTTGCAGCAGCTAGTTCGGTCTGCATCTGTGAAAACTGATCGATTTCGAAGATTTTCATCCTAGAAAATAATGTAACGTGTTCCACAAAAAAAGATGCGAGTAGCAAGTGCTTATTTCAAATGTGATATCTAAATGGGGCCCCAAGGTTCTCGCCAAACTATTTATGCCAAAAATTACACTAAATATAATTTAAGATTTTTTTTGTGGAGTTTTAACAATTAAAAATCAATCACTTTGAAATAAAAACAAGAAAGTATTAAAATAATGACAATTGAGATAAAGGAATTGTGACGTAAAAACCCTTAAACAAGAAAAAAAGTGCAGACTATTTTGGAGATCATCGATGCACTATGGGCGTCAATCAGAGATGTCGTCCTTGAAAACAATTACAATGAAGTAAATGAACTAACAAGTTGGTCGTGGAAAATAATGAAGAACCAGAGTTGCTTCAGTCAGTAATCTTCGTATGCACTTGGATCATGATGATCGGGCGTGTTTTTTGAGATCTTCTAGTCTGTGATAGATGATTCATAGGAGTATGTTAATGATCGTCTTTGAATGGGACTTAATGAAGAAAACGGCTAGATTGGATTGTCTTGGATATTTGTCTTCCGTTATAATCTTCCATAGTTATGGACTAGAGCTGTCGTAATTAATATGCAGCTATGTACGTCGTCAATATGATTATGTCGAATAAGACTTTGATCGTGGATATATAATCATCGACTAGGGATCGAAGGTAAATAATTGTCGATCAAGAGTCGAAGGTTCTATGATCGTATATAACCACAATCATCGATATGACGATCGTTGGTCATATGAAACTTGGTTACAAATGTCATGGTCGAAGAAAATAATTCTGACCATATTTTCATCGGTGGAATGTGTGAGGTTTTTTAATAAAACAGATTCCCACCAATCTTTCTCTTATAATTTATCATTTAGTCATTAACGTTGAATAACAAAAATACATCGATATTTCGAAATTAAGGAAAACTAAATTCTTATGATACCACCTTATTATTTTAGTATATATAATATTGATTTGTATAGAAAATATAAGACAACACATAGATCCAAATGATTGGCGTACTCGTTTAACACCTCCATTAAAATTAGTATATCACATGACAAAACGTACTTAATTTTATTTCATTCTTATTTTGATATCTTGTTTTCAATTATTAATTAAAAATTTATATATTAAAAAATATTTATTTATTTTTATCTTGAGGTTAATGAAACATAAGTGAAATTTAACATGTTTCTAAAAACGCGTTAATCAAAATAAATAATTTTCGAAAAATAGTTATTAAACGATAAATCCTAATAACGGGGCTTAAAATTATGTTTTTTAAAATAACAATTAAAACCATAAAAACAGTTATTTTTTCATGTGATTTGGGTAATAGAAATAAAGTATCTTATGGTTTTCTTGGGGTGTCCGAGCTCCGCCGGTTGTGCAATTGAGTGGGTTTTTTTGCACCTTATAATTACCTTTTCTAATATGATGTTTTTTTTTATCATAAGGATTGTAGCGTGATGGTTGAGTTTTTAGGATAATATGGTTGAATCAATTTCAGGCGACCATAATCTATTATGATAACTAAATTTATTAGGACTGATCGCTTATTGTCGTAATTTATATGGATTAGTTTAGGTATAGCTCACGACACCCTTAAAAAAAAGATGTTGTCCTATTTACCAAAAAATTTAAAGAAAACAATATATGCATTCATTTCCCATCAATTAAGTAGTGACAAGTTCTAACTTTATTTAATACCTGTTTATATGATTTAATTTTTATTCTATTTCTATAATAAATTGATAAATTGTCAAAAATTGGTTAATTTATAAGAGCAACTTTAAAGGAAAGTTATTTGTATTCGAATTTGGTGGGAGTAAATATGATACATGTACATTTGGTTATGTAAACGACTCGATTACTTTTGCATTCATTGTACTTTTCATTTAGGATTAAAACAATCGATTATAGCATTGGGAAAAACCATTAAAACTTAATATAAGACAAGAAAATTCAAATTGTCCTTTGATTGCACATGAAGTGGATTTTACCATATTACCCTTGGGTTAGGGAATATAAATAATTGATAAATGAGCAAGTCAGCATCACTTGGTCGTAAAATAAAAGGCATCTTATGGAATATTATATTGGAGAAACTAACTTCATTATCCCCATTAAAAAAGGGCATTAAGTAGCAATCATAGCCGTGCATAGTTTTATAGCTTCTCATTACAACACCCTTGACGTAATTAACATATTAAACATCTTCAACAAATTTTTCTAAAATAAAAAATTAAAAAATTACGTTCTTCTCTAATACATTCCTTATTTTGTAGAATCAAACATCGATTATATAGTATTAAAATATTTCATTCATCTGTTAAAAAAAAAAATTCTAAATATTTTTTTTAAATTTCGTATTAACGACGATCTCAATTTAATAATCATTTTTGGGATACTTTTCATATTTGAAAAAAAAAAACTCTTCCTTTTCTTTATTTTTTTTCATTTTAAAGATAATTCTTCAAAACTTGTTGAAGCAAAATATTGACTCAAAATTGTCATTTTTCACGGTTTTCTCCCTCTTGGAGAACCTGATGGAAATTCTCTTAATCCATATTTTATCATACCATTTTTATTACCATAATAACTGTTATATATTTTCAGAAACAATAATCTCGAATGGTAATACTTTTAGAAGGAATGGAAGGTGAATTGATCTTGAAATTAAATAAAATACGGTGAAAATCAATGCTGAATCAATCAGAATGGGAAGACGATGTCCAAATGGAGGCAGAAAGCAAGCGCCGGGATTTCCAGCCTAGAACAAGCTTATTACTTGCAGATTCCTCCACCCTGTATCCATCGTGAAAGAGCCCTAGTAACAGTTTCGCCTGACAATGGTTTGCAAAGCTTATGTTGATCGGCTGGAAGTTTGCTTCAGAAAGCCATTCGCCCCACGAACACCATTGCCCATGATCTTCTCGATAAACCCGACCCAACGACCCCAGAATTCGTGGACCCAGAAAGACCCGTTCCACTAACGCCCGAGCACGGCCTTGCATCGGAAACCCTGCTTCTAAAGAGTCGTACAGAGCCGAGTAATGGTGCAATGTGTCCATGAACCGGCCGACGAACCCTCCTTCCACTCTGGGTCCTTCTTCCTCCACAAGGGTCACCAATTTCGGGTTTAAAGTCTTGGATCCGGATAAAAAAGAAGCCACAGAAGTGGGGGAACGGTAGCTGGAATGGGGGAGATGCAGGGCACAGTTGATGACAATGGCTTCTCCTCTTACTAATTTTAAGGCTGAGGGTTTAAAAGTTCCGTCGGGATCTAATACCTTGCATTGATGAAAGGAAAAGGGTTGGCCAATTGAAGTTGCAAAGGCAGTTAAACGACGACCTGTTTCTTGGACGGTGGAGATGGATCTCCGGCCACTTCCAGGTCTTGACAGAGCGGTGATACGGAGGTGGAGAGTTGGTGGTCCGTCTTTTCGGGAGATCAATGCTTGCATTAGCGATGCCCACTGGATACCTTCCATGATATCGTAGTCGACGATGTGGACTCGTCGTTCATGGGTGACTGCTTCGATGATTGCTTGATTTGCGGTGAAATGGCCGAACTTGACGTAAGGTGACATGTCTTGTAATAGCTGGAATGCAGCCAAGACGTCTGTCCGGTGGTGATGTTGTTTAAAATATAATCCTCCACCACCACTACTGCCCCCGCCGCCGGTTTCTAGCAAAGCGAGTAAGGCGTCTGTGAAATAAGCGGCGAGCCTCTCCATGTTGGTCCCTTCAGTTGGTGACACCAAATCCTTGAGCCGAACCAGTATCACCGCAGCCAGATCATGGCTCTTGTTGTCGCTTGTCATGGCCTCCGCCGCAGCCATCAATAGGTGAACCAGCCTTAACCCTTTCATATCACCGGAGCCGCCGTCAACTGATGGTTCAATCATCAATGGACCAGGGGACCCAACATTCTGATTGCCGCCAGAGAAGGAAACTGTCTTATCATCCATTTTCAGTTCAAATATGTGATGAAAGTTCTCTTGGGGCTGAACGGCAAATACATCCCAGTCGCCGGCCGGCGACCAGTCACCCCAACGATCATCTTCCGGGGTGGTGGTACTGTTGGTGGTGCTTGTGGTGGTGAAATCCGAAAAGTCAAGTTCCGATAGGAGCTCGTCAACAACCATGGCCATTTTCAGCCAATGTCTTTTTGAGTTGTGGGGACGTCCTTTGGGATCAAAATGATTTGGGGTTGTACTTTGTATGAAGCAGTAGAATTAAGATTTGTTTAGCTGTGTACTTTTGCATAAGCATCTTTTTATAGCGGTTGCCAAGGTTGAAAATGTATAAATTAAAAACTACAATAAAATAAAATAATAAATGTTTTGTTGGTAATTATTAAAATCAATTCAAGCCAAACTATCTTAAAGTACTCCTCCAATACATTAAGACGTATCTCGATTTTATTGTTTTATTTTATTATTTGTCTTTGTCAATGTTATAATACGATTTTATATATTTAAAAAAAAATTTATTTTTTGAATAAAATATAAATAAAAATTTAAAAATATATATATTAATGTTAATATTAAAGTTTTCATTTTTTATGTAATTTTTTTAATTTATTTTTTTATTTATAATTTAATTTAGGTTTCATAACGAAATAATTTATTTTTTGTTTAATAATATAACATTTTATAAAAATAATAATTAATTATTTTGTTAGAACTCAATAATTATCCTAATTATATTTTAGAATTTTTATATTTAAAATGAGATGTTTATCCTATATTTGATTACGTTATCTGCAGTTAATTACACGAATTCAGATATGGAGCTTTAATAAGTTGTACTTATGCACAATCTGCTTATAATCTTGAGTTTTAAGTAATATGCATTAATAAACAGTACTTTACGTATAAAAAGTGGTTTTTATCAAATGCTCTATAATATAACTAGAAGCGTACTCGCGTAATGCAGCGAGATACATCGTGATTATAATATTTCATTTTATTCTTTATCTCAGTCGATGTTATAATATAGCTTTATGTGATTKTGAGAAAGCGATTATGTTTTTATTTTAGAATAAAATATATGTTTGAAGATATCATAAAAATTTGACAAAAATATATCGATATTAGTATCAAATTAACTAT